CAGTTTCCTAGAAATAGTATGATCTCATTTGTCCTTCATTCTTACTTTTTTTTTTTTTTGAGGAACCAGGGATTGAATTCAGGCTTCAACCTTACTTCTGATCTCTTTCTCTTCTTCCACTTTTCTATTTCCTTGCTAGCCAACTTTAAATTTAAACTCCTGAAGGCAAAATTGACACATTAAGTATTGGTATACTGCATACATTTTTCTGGTTTGTTTCAGATTATGTCATACAACTACAAATTTAGTCCATATATTTAAAGGTAACAAATTAATGGGTAACTCAGTTTGTCATTTTCTAGGCTGTGACTGTTAGTGCTGTAATTGCTGATGGTACTACTTTAGTCAAAAGTGATATAATTGCTCTAAACAGCTATTTGTCCTAGTCTTCCAAGACTGAGATTGACTAAGGGTCATAGAAAGTACTGTGGCACGGTGCCAAAGAACCCAGGGCGGGGCCAAACTTACAGCAACTTCTCCTTCTCAACAAATCGAGGAGGCTAGATCCTTCAACAGACTCAAAACCCAAAAATCAGTCACACCTGGAAGATATTCTGGAAAAGCAGCCATTTCCTATTGGTTTTTAAATACTAGCAATAAAGCAATATACCATAGGCTATTTACAAATATCATTCCAGGAATTAAACAAAAAAAGAAAAGAAAATGAGAAGACTTAAACAAGACATAGCCCAAACGTCCAGTTTACCAAAGGCAAATTCAGGAGGCAATGAGGTGGAACAAACTGAAAGCCACCTACCTGGCCTATCTGAAGCAGTAACAACAAAGCAATTGAATGAGCTTCTAGAAAAAAAAAAATCAAATCAGAAATAATTTCTCAGACAACTGCAGAGATGGTGGCCACATTGAAAACCATGCTTAGTGACTATAGAGCAGACACAGACAAAAACAGAAGAGCTTAAGAAAATTATGGGGCTGGCCAGATAGCTCAGGAGATTAAAGCACCTGTTTAGGCAGATGCAGGGGTAGGGGGTTCAGTCCCTGGGCTGCCAAGCTGGCCCTGCCTCTGGGGCATGCTGAGACGGTGAATGAGACTGGGTATGGTGGCGTGTGCCTATATTCCCAGGGCTTGGGAGGATGAAAAATAGGAAGGATCACTATGAGTCCAATTTGTGGAGTGAGACCTTGTAGACCCTGTACTAAGTACATTAAAAAATAAAAATAAAAATTAGAGAAGCAATGATTGTTTAGCATAGGAAAGAAATTGAATCCATAAGGCAGATTCAAGCAGATATCCAGGAGAACACAAACTTCACTGAAAGTATCCACTGAAGGACAAGCCAATGTGAGAACAGAATCTCAGACATACAAGACAGGGTTGTGCTTACTAATCATGAAAAGAAAGTTTCTTAGAAATAGAAAGGGACATGAGAAATCAATCCAGCAGCTGCTCAACAGGCAAAGAAGAATAACTTAAGATTAATTTAAGTCAATGAAAAAGCAAGAGATAGCACAAGTAATATGAAAGACTCTGTTCACAGACATCATGCAGAAAACTTCCCTCCTAAGAAAAAAGAATTTGACATATAAATAAATGAAGGATACAGAACTCCAGTTAGCTATAATAAAAACACAAAAACAAAACAAAAAAACAACAAAAAAACCAGCTACAGGCAGGCATATCATAGTCAAGAGTCCAGAAATTCAACACAAGAATACAATCTTAAAAGCTGTTAGGGAAAATAAACAATGCATAAATGAAAGCCCATCAGAACCATAGCTGACTTCCTAGCATAAACCCTCATGTCCAGGAGAGCTTGGAGTAAAGTATTTTAAATTATAAGCAAAACAACCTTCAACGCAGATTGATGTAACCCTCAAAACTATCAAAACTGACACAGAAATAAGGGAAGATACTTCCATGACAAAAAATACTTGAGGAAATTCATTACCACCAGACTAGTACTCCTGCATCATGGAGTATTGTTTTCTTTTTTTTTTTTAAATTCTTTTTTTGAGTATTGTTTTTGAACCTTTGACTTTCAGTGTATGAATTCCTTTTTCAATTAAATATGTTGCACTAGGCAGGGGAGATAGCTCAGTGGTCTAAGTGCCTGCTTGGCAAGAGCAAGGAGCTGAGTTCGATCCCCAGTACCGCATGCTGTGCTAGCCCTGGAACCCCGGGTACACCAGGCTAGCCACCAAAGCTGGGTGTGGTGGCACATGCCTGTAATCCCAGTGCTTCAGAGGCTCAGTCAGGGGGATCACTATGAGTCTGAACTGTGTAGTGACACCCTGTACCAAATAAGTAAGTAAATAAATAAATAGCTAATAGAATTAAGTTCATAGGTGGTCCAGGTAGAAGGCATTGGTAAGCAAAGACCACTGTGGTTTGGTAAATGTTGTTTTTTGATCTTCAGTTTCAAGGAACATATACTTTGTGAATGAACTTCATGAAATAAAGGGGTTACTATAAGGATTCCAGAATTGAGATTCAAATTTTCTCATGGGCCAGCCTTTATTTCTCTGCTAGTCATATTTTGTTTTATGTGTCTGCTTCAGTCTCCTTTTTACTTTGCCAGAGCATAGAAGATCAGTACACAAATATTTACCTTATTACTATATATAAAAAGTAAACATACAGAGAAGAGACCACAAAATATAGCATTTACAACTATATAAACATCTTAAATACCTAAAAATAAATTTAAAGAAAAATATTCAATATCTATATATAGAAAATTGTAACATGTTAAGAAAAATTAAAGACTGAAATTATAATTGATTTTTAGACTCAATGCAGAACTAAAGTTGTAACAATATTTTTTCATTCCCAAATAACTACACTCTATATCTATTCATTCTTCTTCCCTCCCTATCCCCTGGCAATTACTGGTCTTTTACTGTCTTTACAGTTGTCTTTCTATAATGTCATATACTTAAAAATCATATAGCATTTAGATTTTCAGATTGGCTTCTTTCAATAGTTATAATACATTTAAGGTTTTTAAAATGTATTTTTATTGCTTAATAGATTATTTAATTTTAGTGTTAAATCCATTGTTTGATGTACCACATTCATCTACTTATGTATTCATCTACTGACAGACAACTTGGTTGTTTCCATGTTTAGGTATTTATGAATATAGCTGTGATAAACACCAGTATATAGGACTTTATGTGGATATAAGTTTTAAACTCCTTTAGGTAAATATAAAGGAGTTCAATTGCTGGGAAATATGGTTGAGTATGTTGAGTTTTATAAGATACTTCCAATTTTTGCATATTGAAATCTCAGCAATGAGTGAGAATTCCTGCTGTTCCAGACTATCACCAACATTTACTATCAATGACAGCCACCAACAGATATGTAGTAAGATCTCCCAGCTATCTTAATTTGAATTTTCCTAATGATACATGATATGGAGCATCTTTTCACATGCTTGTCACTGTATCATCTTTGAGTTTGTTTTGATTCATATATA